TGAACAAAGCCATGGTCAGGATGCCAGCTCCCCAGACCCTCCTCCGCCTCCCACACATTGCTCTGATGAGTCAGGTCTGACGTGGTCTCACAGATTTGAATGTATCTTAATAACTCAGACGTGACGCCTGCAGATGAGACGTGCTGTGACGAGGGGTGTGACCATGGGCAGGGCACTGCCTTGGGGCCTTCATGGGGACTGCAGGAAGACCGGCCATGTGTTCCAACTTCAGGACACTTTCTTCTTCTCTGTAGAAACACGAAGACACCGAGTGTCCCTGCGTGGTGGTGTCCTGCCCTCACAAGTGCAGCGTCCAGACCCTCCTGAGGAGCGAGGTAAGAGGCATGGCCACGGCCAGCCAGGGGCTTGTGCCAGCCTTAATGAGCTCCACTCTTCCCTCGGTAGAGCCGGAGCCTAAGGTTTTCTCAGTTCACATGAGTGACTTGAGACGGAAGGAAAAAAAATACAACAGAGTCTCCTGCTATTTTTTGAAAGTCAGAAACAAGCAATTAAAAGCTACAGAGTGGTAAATTCAGAGCAAAAAAATGTTTCCAATCAAGAGAATCAACATACAAAGGTGATCACTTTAAAAAGCTATATTTAAATCTATAAAATGGGAAATGTAAGATTATCTCAGAAAGCAAATTAATTTAGGGACACTCCAGAACCCTTTGACCAACTGTGCTGGGCAGAGGTGGCCAGGGCAGGAAGTGGGTACAGGGACAGCTCCCACTGCAGGGTCACCAAGAGCTGAGGCATCAAACCCCTCTGAGTGTTCTTTCTTTGAGAAGGGTGGTGTGGGTTACTAACTTCATTCAGTCAGAACATTCCCAGATGGGGAAACTGGAGACACTTTGATGGCTGTTGTTGGACATCTGGGACGCCCCTCGCTCAGTGGGTGGCCGTCACCTGGGCACTCTTACCCAAGGGGCCTGCCCTCCTCAGCCTTTTCCCACAGCCTGGACTGTCGTGGCTGGATGGTGGAAGCGGGAAGGGTCCTTCATGTGTTGCTGACTGAGTCAGAAGGCTTGGTCTAGGGTGGGGAACTCAGGAGGGCTCCGAGGTGCATCTCCTGGGCCTTGAGGCTGATGGGTGAGAACAGGATGTGTCCTGGTGACAGTGGCCTCTGGGCCTGTAAACTCGCCTTTGGGAGGGGCTGAACAAATGCATGTAAGTTATTTCTACTGCCGAACAGCCCCTCTGAAGAGCCCATGTAACTGAAGTAATTTCTAGTGTTTCGTATATTCTCTTAAATTTTTACTTCCTAAACACTGTCTGAATTAGGGCAAAAGCTGCCTTCATTTTGCCTCTAAGTTACTTTTATTTAAAAATCTTTAAACCTGCATTTCTCTGGTTTCTGACAAAAGGTGCTTTGAGTTATCTTGCCTTTATTTCAAAGCTCCTGTGATTGTGCCAGACCCAGAAAGAACTGATGGTAAAATCAGAATAGGGAGCGGTGCATACCTGAGTTCAGGGAGCGCACCGAGAGCACCCGTCACACTCAGCATGTCCTTGAGTGGGACGTCAGTGCATTAGCACTCGGGTTCGTGGCTGTATTAATGGCACGGCACAGCTCCGTTCACAAGTTGAAGATGATGTTGCTGTGTACAGTCTTCACGCCATGCCTCTGTGCCGGTCCCATGTCACCTGCCTCTCGGACACTCTCCTCAGTATGCAGCCCAGGGCTTCATGACTGGGGTGGGGAACAGCAGACGCACTAGGCTGCCAGATCCTGGGCCACCATGGCTCTGGCCTGACAGACCCTCTTCGATGGCTGGCCTCAGTGCAGTCCCATGATGCCTTAGCCCACTTGCCCAGTGTGGGCCTCCTCCTCAGCTATGGCAGTAGAGCAGAGTGTCCAGGGACCTGTTTTCCCCTCTATCCGAAATACCGACCTAGAAGGCAGAGTCACCTCAGAGAAGTTGTAGAGCCGAACAGCACCCGCCAGGACGCACAGTCCATGAGCTACTGAGGCATGTGTGCCCGGCACAGGATGCAGGCTCGGGCCACTGTGAGCCGCTCACGCCACTCCTGATCAGGGCCTGCTCTCCTGCGAAGATCTGTCTCTGGTGTCCTGATGAGAGCTTCCTCGGCGAGAGAAGGAGCTACCCTCCCATGGTGTCAGCCTTTTCATAACTGTGTCTCCTGACACTTGCTGGTGTCCAGTCCCCTCCTCTCTAGCTGGGGCATCAGAAGTAGCTTTATCTGATGGCCTGCCGGCATTTGAGCTGGGTAAAGGGCTTTTCCTTCTGCCCCCGATCCCTCCTAAGTTTCTGTTCCTGTCGATCAGAGCTGCCGACACTAAGACTCATGTTGTTAGAATGACCTTAGAGATCTTTGGACAGCAACGTGAGTTTCTGGCCGTACAGAGGGGACAGTCTTTTCAGATGAAGGAAAAGCTCATCTCCAGGGGTCTTTCAGTCTCATGAGTGGTGGTGGTTCCTGGTGTAAGCCTGCTTTGAAAATACATTTTATTTTTATGTACTGTATATTAGTTGTGTGGCCCAGTTGCATCCTGAATGCTTTCTATTTTTGTGTTTCATGCAACTTTTGTTTATGGTCTTTAATGTCCATTTTAGTTTACATTTTTTTCTTCTTTTTTTAATTCTGGCACTACAAATGGCATGTCACATCTGAACAATTATTTCTAAAGAAACTGCAAATTTTAAGAAATGTTACAGTAAATGTATTTCTGTATATTAGTGCATATATGTGTATACACGTGACTATACCGTATTATTTACTGCATGTAAGTCTAGGCAGCAGGTGATGCCGACACACCTACCGCTGGTGAGCACCATTAACAGTACAGCCCAGATGCTTTCTGTGCCCTGATATGTTGGAACATTCTCATGCAAGCGTTCGTGCCACAACTCACGTCTCTTTCCCGTTGCAGTTGAGTGCACACTTGTCAGAGTGTGTCAATGCCCCCAGCACCTGTAGTTTTAAGCGCTATGGCTGCGTTTTTCAGGTCAGTATCCGACATTTGTCCTTACCCATCACTGACATTCTGCCATGAGAGAAAGTGAATAACATTTTAACATGCAAGTTCTAGACTTTCAGTCTTTGTCATTAAAGCCAGACACCCTGTTGCATGGGTGCTGAGAGCCACGTGTGGCAGATGGGTGCTTGCTCTCTAGCCCAGCGAGGAGACAGTGCAGAGTGAAGCCATGAGGAGAGCTACTACAGCTAAAGCCTGCGAGTGAGAACGAGCCCTGCCTCTCACACAGCTTCGCCATGTTGTCACAGCAGGCACTAGTTTGGAGTCGTACTTGGTGGGGTTTCTACGTGGACTGTTACAGAAGTTGAGCTGTACTAGGATTTCAGCCCAGACACAGTTGCAGCAGTGTGCTTGTCAGTGCACAGTTGTAAGGGTCACACACTTGTGTGTCCATACATGCATTTGGTGTGCATGCCTGTGCTGACTTTGACTCTGGCTGGAGACGGATCTAAAATGTAGCACAGCCATAGAAACCACATTTTCCACAAAAACAGGCTGGGAAGGACGTCTCTGTTCCTGTCACACACGTAGCATTAGAAACCTGCATCTGGTTTCCGTTACTTGTATTTTTAACAGGACTGAGATTGCTAGTGAGTTGGAACTGAGTTTTCATTCAAACGTGTGTTTTGTGAAACTATCAAAAGGCAATGTGTATTAATAGTGAAATTAATACTTAATTTTATGTATCGCCAGTACATTTTACAAAATCAGTACAGAGGAATTGGCGGCGTAGGGTTCTCTGCGAGGGTAAAAGCCGCAGAGTCAGTGACTGTAGCTTTCCTTTCGGTCTAGTGAGGCCAGCCCCTGTTGTGTCGTGTGTAGTACATCCATCCTGTGTGTGCGTATATATGTTTATATACAGCAGCAATATATCAACATATATATATGACGGTTCTGTGTACAGAGTATATGTTTTGGAGATCATTAAAATGCTTTCTGTGACTTGATTTCCCAATATCAAAACAAATTCTGTTTCATACTGATTATTACCTTAAATACAAGAAGTGCCGTTTCATCTTGAAGATGGTCTGCATCTTATGTACTCTGTAAATTGTTTATGTTTTGTATGTAGCTTTCTAAGTTTACTTAGAATGGTGAAGAGCAGTACTTTTTCAGATGCAGCCTATTTGAGCTAATAAATTAGTACTTTAGTAAGTTACTTAGAGTCCCTATTGTAGCCGTATCTAGCAGTAACTTCAGGTGTCTAAACATTTTTCATTTATTTCTTTAATGAAAAAAATTATAAAGTAACAAAAATGAGTTTAATAAGTAATTTATTGATACTGCCTGTGAAACCTTGATAAAGAAGCCTGAGGAGCGAGGAGCAGGCCCCAAGGCCGGCATTGCAGTACAACCAGGTTTCCTCTCAGCCCGTTTTTCTCAGAACCTCCGAGGCTCAGAGACCACCTGTGCATGTTACATGACTGCTCCCCGTCACGTTTAGTGCTGCTGTAGAGTCAGTCGTTAGACTTCCTGTCCTTTGGAATCCAGTGAGACTGGCTTAATGCCTTGCATCTTTGCTCTGGCAGGGCACGAACCAGCAGATCAAGGCCCACGAGGCCAGCTCCGCTGTACAGCACGTCAACCTGCTCAAGGAGTGGAGCAACTCCCTCGAGAAGAAGGTAGGCCACGCGGGGCCCTGCTCCACTGGTGTTTTTATGATTTTTTTCAAAATTTTTAAAGAGAAGAACCCCTTTTATAGGTTTTAATGGTTTGTAGATTAAAGAAACACACAAAAATTGTCAGAAATTCTCTTCTTATGATCTTGAATTTATAAATGAAGGTCTTTTATTCTCTGTTTTGTTTTTTAATGGCCAAGCAAGTATGCATTGCTTTTTCTTCTGCACACATTGTCGTTATTTTAGATTTGATTTAGAGCAGAGAGATTATCGACTTCCAACTCTCACCCATCTTTTTGTAAATAAAGTTTTATTGGAACACAGCTGCCCTCTTTCATTTCCACATCCTCTGTGACTGCCTTTCACCATAGCAACCGAGTTAAGTAGTTGAGCCAAGGATCACGTGGACTGTGCAGCCCCACATACTGTTTAGCTCTTTTTTTAAAAAAATATTTATTTAATTTATTCATTCATTTTATTTTAATTTGACCAGAAAGAGAGACACACAGAGAGGGAGAGAGAGAGAGGGAAAGTGAGAAAGCAAGCTACCAGGTCCGGGACTCGAACTGTGATTGGCCACGTGGGTGTGTCCAACAACTTAAGCACCACGCCACCTGCTGGTTCCCCTGTTTAGCTCTTTTACAGAACAGATTTCCTGCCCCTGTTCTGGGTGGTTACCCACGTTAAATACTTTGTAGTTCTAGGTTCTTTGTAAGACACAAATAGGAAACAACATTCCCATGTCACTAGCGTTTATGACTAATGTCATCTGACACTGAAAATTTGGTGCCCTCTGACCACAGACAGGACCGCTGCCCAAGCAGATAGTCTATCCATGATAACTTAAGGAGCCTCCACTGTGGGGCTGTGGGCCCTATGGCAGACATCGTCCGGTTATCAGGAAGGTTTCATCCCAGAGAAGTGCGGTCTGTAATGTTCCGCCCAGTGGGAGTTTTCTTTTCATGAGAAGAAAAAGAAAATTTCTAAGGGTTGGTAGAGAAAAGGTTGGAATCGAATCTCTCATTGTGGCCACTTGCAAAAGTTAAAACTTAATTCCATACCCACATGTTGAGAACTTGCATTGGAGGGACCACAGGATAAGTTAGTATAGCCAGTGGAGGTTGACTCTTAACTTCTAAAGAGAAATGTCTTGTTTCAAGAGTTAAATCCAGGGAACCAGCAGTTAGCGTAATGGCTCTGTCGCTGGACTCCCACGTAGTCTACTTCGGTTCACGTCCTGGAACCAGTGGTTTAAAACTCACGCCGGGCACATGTGCGTGCGTGCCCAAGATCCCGAGAGGAGAATGGAGGAGAAGGGATTGCGGCGTGACCATCCCCCCTGGGGGGTGATTTCTCCCTTTCTGTCTCTATGTCTCTCTCTGTCTGTCTGGCGAGCGCACACGCCCTATAGCAAAAACCTCTCCAAAAAAAAAAAAAGAATGTGGTATTTCTGCCTTTTTGAATTTATAGACATAGATCACGTGATTTTCCGTCCCATGTGCTGTTTCTAATTTCAAAGGCTTTTTTTTTTTTTGAGAGATTTTCACAGAAATTTTTGCTATCGGGCACATGTGCTCATCAGAGAGACACAGAAAGAACAGAAAAAAATCACTCCCTGGGGGTATAGGCATGCCACAGTCCCTTCTTCTCTATTCCATTCTCCTCTTGGGATCTTGGGCACGCATGCACACGCGCCCGGCGTGAGTTTTAAGCCACCAGGTTCGGGACACAAACCGCGGTCGACCGTGTGGGAGTCCAGCGACATAGCCATTACGCTAACTGCTGGTTCCCTAATTTCAAAGGCTTTTTCTTGCGCTGTAACAGTTGGTCTATTGCAGCTGTATTGGCTACATGGCGGTTAAGCGGGTCTCAGGTGTGTGGTACCCAGCAGAATGGTTCTGGACGTTCTGGAAGGTGCTGAGTTCCTGGAGGACTTGGTGGTCTGTCCCTGCGGTTACATTCCTCTTCTTCCTTCCTGCTTCGTGATTTTTTCCCCCCAAAGCGAATGGTTTTGCACCATTGGAAACTCCAGAATGTTCCAGCACACCAGAGCAACCTGTCTACACACAGTGTACAGCCTTCCCCCACCACCACCTTGTGGATTCCTCATGTTTAACTGTCACCAGCCAGGTCACAGCGAAGCCCTGAGGGTGCAGGATGTGTTGCAGGATGTTGCAGCTGCTGTGTTGGAAGTGCCTGCCCTTTGCACATGCTCAGGGATTAGTCTCTCTGGCTCTGTCGTCAGAATGGAAGCATTCAGGCCAACTGGGCTTCAGCCGCATGCATCCTCATCATGCCCCCAGAGTGTGTGTCTGCCCTTTTCCAAAGGACAGGCTAGTCAGAGAATGGAGATACTTATATTTTCTCATTTAAGAACTATTTGATTTTATTATGTATTTAATTTGACCAGAGAGAGAGGGGGGAGGGGGAGAGTGAGATAGGAAGCCACCTGGTCTGGGACTCGAACCGTGATCTGCCATGTGAGAGTTTAGCACCTTATGTGCCAGCCCCGATTTATATGTTTGTATCTATGTATGTACACCTTTGCCGAAGGGTGCATGCACTCACAGAGACAGACAGAGAGAAAGTGAGAAATCACTCCCTAGGTGGCATGACCATGCCTAAATCCCTTCTCCTCTGTTCTGCTGGGATTTTGGGTATACATTCACATGCACCTGGTATGATTTTTAAGCCACCAGGTTCAGGAATTGAGCCATGGTTGGCCACATGGGAGCTCAGCACCTTAATCATCTGCCACTTGTCGGCCCCAAGATAGTTCTTTTCTCTTTCCTTTTTGTTTTTTTTAGAGAGATTTTTGTGATAGGGTACATGTACTCATCATAGAGACAGAGAGAAAGCAAGAAATTACCCCCCGGGGTGGATGGTCACACTGCAGTCCCTTCTCCTCCGTTCTCCTCTCAGGATTTTGGGCACGCACGCACATGCACCCGGCATGAGTTTTAAGCCGCCAGGTCTGGTACTTGAACAATGGCTAGCTATGTGGGAGTCTTAGTGACATAACCGTTATATCTGCTGATCTGTTATATTTCCTTAAAAGACTGGGCTCATGGAGGGTCTTGGGGGAGAATGAGGTAGAGATGAGCCTCTCCTCTTCCAGCTTCATGGAAACACCCTGCCAGGTAGACTCCCTGTACAGAGTGGCCCCCAGCTAAAGCACAGGCGAGGACCACAGTCTGGCCCAGGACTTGGGCTCTTTGGTCAAAGCCAGAAATACGAATGAAAGTCACAGCGAGAGCAGTCCCTCAGTGAAAGAAATTCAGAGTCGGTGGCTTGTATGTTCATTCCCCTAAGCCACTGCTCCTTGTACTCAGACACTCGTGTGGTTGCAGGAATAACTGCCGATGTTTGTGGAGATATTACAGAGTTGTGTTTTGTTTTTGTTTTTTGGGGGGTTTTTGGTCAAAAGCATTGTCATACATGGTGTCTCTTAGGGGGTGGGAGAATAGAGACTCTGGGGATTCCGTCCATCTTTCACAGATCAGAATGAGCAAACTGTAACTTCAGAAGTGATGTCACCACCATGTGACATTTTATAGGTCCCACTCTGCATGAGTGCAGCTCGAGCACTTGTAGGTCACAGACTTTAGCAATAGTAAGCTGCAGGCAGAAAGACCGGTTTTTACTGAAGAAAATCCTAGGAAAGCGAAGTCGTGCCTAGCCCTGGAGGTGCTGCAGTCTCTGTGCTCCTTAACACACCCTGCGTTAAAGTGCGGTAGCGGCCATCGCTTCTCCAGGTGCTTCCTGCCGAGGGTGGTGTTGGGCATGGAAGGGCACCTGTGTTGAGGTCGCCAGCATCGGGTCAGTTGTTTGTCGCATTGTCTTGGCCAAGATGCTCTCAGGCCATCATGTAGGGACATGTGCGAGGCCAGTACCTAGGCACTGGTGGTTCTAGAGGGTTCTTCATGGGGAGGTGCACATCAACCAGGTGGCCCGATCCCAGGGGGGGTCACGGATCCCAGGGGGGTTCAGACTCTTCCAGGGTGGCAGCAGTGCTCCTAAGCGGGGTGAGAGCTTTTAGACATTTTTCTCCAAAGGCCTTTGGAGAAATCTTGTGAGAAAGGAAGCCTTGTAGGAGTTACCTCAGATTCCTCATCAGGGGATTTTAAGACCAAGTATTAATGGTCCTTGGGGATTAAATGGGTTTCTTTTTTTTTTTTGGTTTTTTTTTTTTTTTTTTTTTTCTATATAAAGATTTGGAAAGAGCAGAAGTGGCCGTGGCATTGCAGCTCAGCCGGCCCTTCCTCCTGGTAGCGTGGCTGCAGATGACTGCTGAGCACCCTGGAGGTCTGTGCAGGCCAGCGTGGCTGCACTGAAACCCTTCTGTTTTGTTTGGAATTTTCACCAGAGGGCACGGGTGCTAGAGAGAGGGAGGGAGAAAGCATCCCCCCAGGGGGCATGGTCATACATAGCCCCTTTTCCTCCATTTTCTTCTTGGGATTTTGGGCATGCACACACACTGGCCTGTACCCAGTGTGTTTTTTTTTTTTTTAAAGAGATTTCTTTTTTGCTTTAAGACACTTGTGCTTGCTGGAGAGAGAGTGAAAGAAAGAAAGAAATCACCCCCTGGGGGGATGGCCATGTCACAGTCCTTCCACCTCCATTCTTTTCTCAGGATTTTGGGCACACACATGTGCGTGCGCCTGCATGCCGGTGAGAGTTTCAAGGCTTCATGTCCAGGGCTCAAACCATGGTCGACCCTGTTGGAATCCAGTGCCTTAACCACTGTATCACCTGCTGACTCTGCACGTTTTTCAAGCTGCTGGATCCGGATTCAAATTACATAGTCGGCCATGTGGGATCACCCTGCCTTAACTCCCAGGCCACCAGCTGGCCCTGGGCCTTTGTGGTCTGTTATCCTTCCCAAACTTTCTCCTTTAGTTGGAAGGACTTTGTGAACAGCCAGATGTGGCCCACGATGGATGTGCAATAACTTAGTGGGTTTGACTAGCATTTTTTAAATTGACTAGTAACTGTGTTTAAGTATAGGGCACAGTGTACCATTTTGATATTGATATATGTGTCCATATTACCAGTGGCTAAATCCAGCTAGTTAACATATCTATCCCTTCTATGATGCCAACATTTAGAACCCACTCTTTTAGCAATATTAAAATATATGTTACGTTAACCGTAGTCATGTGCTGTGCAACATATCTTAAAAACGTATCTCTGCTGTCTGACCAAAATTTCATACCCTTCGACTAACGCTGACCCCGGCCCCTGGAAGCCAGCATTCTTCTCCGTCTCTGCAGTTCCCCGTCTTCGGATGCCACACCTACGTGAGATCACACAGTCTGTCTTTGTACCTGGCTTAGTTTACTTAGTATTACGTCCTCCAGAGACAAGCGTTTTTTTCTTTTTCCCAAGTAGAATAGAGCGTAACGTGCACGGTAAGTGATCTGGGCCATGCGGGTTTGCAGCGTCTGTCTCTCAGGTATGCACACACGCTTTCGTGCAAACTGGGAGAAATGTAAGAATGTGTTTCTTTCTTTGTTTCTTGACCAAAATTTGAGAGCTACTCTGGTAAAAGATAAGTTTTCAGCAAAAAACATTAAAAAGATTTCAGTTCTGGGACCAGCAGTTGGCGTAATGGCTATGTCGCTGGACTCCCATGTAGTTGACCTAGGTTCAAGTCCCAGACCCGGTGGCTTAAACTCACGCTGGGCACGTGTGTGCCCAAGATCCCGAGAGGAGAACAGAAGAGAAGGGATTGCAACGTGGCCATCCTTCCTGGGGGGGTGATTTCTTGCTTTCCTTCTCTGTCTGTCTCTTTCTGGCAAGTACATGCACCCTGTAGAAAAAACCGCTCAAAAAAAAGCATTCAGTTCATTATGAAATCCAGCCAGCTGCTATACTTTGCCTCACCTTGTGCCCAAGATCCCGAGAGGAGACTGGAGGAGAAGGGATTGTGGTGTGGCCATCCCCTCTTGGGGGGTAATTTCTCAGTTTCTGTCTGTCTCTGGCAAGCACATGCACCCTATAGCAAAAACCTTGCTTTAAAAAAAATTAAAGAAATTCAAATACTATCATTGGTGCCAGCAGGTGGGGTGGTGGTTAAAGGCGCTGGACTCCCATGTGGCCAACCATGGTTCGAGTCCCGGACCTGGCGACTTGCTTTCTCACTTTTCCGCTCTCTGTTTCTCTAACCCTCTCCGGTCAGATTAAAATGGATGAACAAATAAATAAAGTTAAATAAAATAATAATTCTTGGGACCCTGTTGCTTGAACTCACGCCAGGCATGTGTGCGCGTGTGCCCAAGATCCCGAGAAGAGAACGGAGGAGAAGGGATTACGGCATGGCCATCCCCCTGGGAGTGATTTCTCGCTTTTTATCTCTCTGTCTCTGTCTTTCTGGCGAGCACACATGCCCTATAGCATAAACCTCTCAGAAAAAAAAAAAATTTATTTTAAAAAATAAATACTGAGCCAGCAGGTGGTGTGGCAGTTACGGGCGCTGGATTCCCACATGGCCAACTGTGGTTCGTCCAGACATGGTGGCTGACTTTCTCACTTTGTCTTTCTCCCTCTCTCTCTGTTCCTCTCTGGTCAAATTAAATGAAAATAAATAAAGTTAAATTTAAAATAAGTAAATAAATACTATCATTGTTATTACTTAATATTAAAACCACTTACACTAGATTAATTGGAAAATCTCTTTTCCAGGTTTCCTTGCTGCAGAATGAAAGTGTAGAAAAAAATAAGAGCATACAAAGTCTGCATAATCAGATATGTAGTTTCGAGATTGAAATTGAGAGACAAAAGGAAATGCTTCGAAATAATGAATCTAAAATACTTCATTTACAGGTAAGAAGCTTAAGGTTGTGACTTGTCCAGGGGTGAGGAGCTGGTATGTGTTCTCAGCAAGGGCTTTCTTAAGACCGAGCTGTCTGACTGACACCCCTACCTTTGACAAGCAGAGGCCACTCACCTCTCTTCCTGAGGTGAAGACTTCAGAAAGGTGTCCTGGGCTGGCCGGGATGCCATGAGTGGCCATTCTCTCTCCGCTTTCTTGGGCCAGCAGGCCTGGGACCTCTTTCTGTGTCTTTGATCCACTGCTGGCAAAGTCAGACTTCAAGCCTGTGTTTTAGAACAATTAGCTGTTCTTACAATTATCAAACGTTCCCTATTGTTCATGAGTAGTCGTGTGCAAAGTCTCACTTCCTGAGGTGAAGCCAAACCGTTCCTGGTGGGCATTTCCTGGTGACGCTCACACTCCACTGTACTTCACTGAAGTACTCAGGGGCCTCCCAGCACGTCAACCTTGGCCACTCCGAGTGGAGGTGCACAGCCTGACACAGACAATGTGCCTGTCTCCTGGGTCAGCATCGGCTCCATGGACACCTGGGGTGGACCGTGGGTGAGGGTCCCCTCTGTACGTGGCCTCCCTCATGGCGTGCGTCTGCCACGACAAGCCCACGCTTCCCGTGCACTGTGTGCGTGTCACTGTAGTGGTTTCCAGTGCTCGTGCCCAGGGCGCGTTTCCCTAACTCACCTGGGAGATTCGGCATTGCTGACAGTGTGGGGTGGGGTCTTCAGGAGCGCCTTCCCTCCCGCTACCACATGAGAGGACGGGGATTTATTAAATTAAATCTCATTTGTATTCAACTTTGTGGTTGCCCAGGAAGACAAGGAAAAAATAAAGGAAACATTAGATTGTCAGAAAAGGTCTGAGTTGTTAGTGTTGAGTCCAGCCAGGCAGTTTGTGACATAAACCACCAGCACGCCCCCTGCTGGGTGCTCTGGTGTTTCCTAGAGCCTATGGTATGAAGTCTGAGGTCAGACTGCACAGGCAGCAGGCCCAGGTCCTGTGCACCCCTGGGGCCCAGCGTCCCCAGCACTGCCCACTGGGGGGCAATGGTTGATTTATGTTTGAAATTTTATGATTAAATAATCCAGGGTGAGTCAGGAAGACAGGGAAGCAAGCCACTGACTGCCGAGGAACAAGGGCTGGCAGGAACGGTAGTGGCCAGTGTCCCTCGCCTTGTCGTGACAGGGAGGACAGTGGCTGCCGGCTCTCTTTTCCACAGGAAGAAAGTCATGGAGGGAGAGGGGCTCTAGTTACAGGCAGGGACTCAGACTGGAGCTGATGGCTTCCTTGTGCATCGGAACAGAGCCTGAGGGTCCAGAAATCCCTCAGGTAGCATCCAGGTGACCAGAACTCTGAGTAGAAGGCCACCCAGCGTGTGATCTTAGGAAAGGTGTCATTATGGGGCTGGCAGCCTGTGGCTGGCAAGGAGACGCTCTCTGGACTGTCAGTGCAGAAACTCCCAGGTGCCAGGAGGTGTTGGCTGTGTCAGCTGCTCAGCCACATACCTCATGTTTTCCTTCATCTTCCACCCCGCGGGCGTCTCCCAGAAGGGTTCACTGATACTCCGTGGGACTGGCTACTGGTCACTGTCCCAAATTTGCCCTCTCTCTGCAGCGAGATGGACCTCCCTTTGCTCCTCGAGAGGCTCCACGCCCGGCCTGGACGTGCCTGAGCTGGACAGCCCTCTTCCCCACTCCCCTACCTGACTGCCTCTGACCGTGACTCCCCATGAAACACCTCAGGCCACATCCTCCAGGAAGCCCCCCTCGCCACCCCATTCCTGTGCTCACCAGGCTGTGTACAGCCTCAGTGACGATGGTACACGTCATCTGTGTCATCTGCTTCCTTGTCTGACCCTCCAGTAGACTAGAACCCCAGTGGTGTAGAGTGCCTGGGCGAGGTCGCAGTGGTGGGCACAGGCAGAGGTGCAGGGAGCAGACAGAGCGTGCTGGCTGTGCTCGCCCGGGAAGGGCGGCTCTTACACCTTCCTTAGACCAGCCCAGCCGGGGTCCCGACCCCGGGCTCCTGTTGCCAGTGGGACCGATAAACTGTGGTCCTGTCATTGGCCTTCAGACCCAGGGGCGCCGAGAGCGCACAGGCTGCGCACAACCTCCACCTGGAGCTCTGTGTCCTAGTACAAGTCCGTGCCTGCACCCAAGGTCGTTGGTGTGAACTGCAGAGGCTGCGCACAGGCTGCCCTTCCAAAGGGAGTGACGTTCACAGTGCTCCAGGGGACGCACAATTCAGAGTCGTGGTCTGCTTGAGGCTGTGCTGTCGATACTGGAGAGGCCTGTTTAGACATAGCGGTTATCAGATCGAGCATGGAGCGCCTTCTGAGTGAGCCGTGAGCCTCTCTCTGCCACAGCAAGCTCCTCCTCCAGGCCCGACTGGGAGTCCCATTCCTGCAAGCCTGCATGGCCTCGCGTGGCACCACAGGCCACTGTCCCCTTCATCCCCAGCTGTAGGAGTGGGCAGCGCAGTGTCACCCTTTTCCCACTCTGTGCCTGCCGGCTCAGCCCTGGCTGTCCTCAGACTGCCACGGTGCCCTTCCCATCCAGTTGCCACTCCCCCGTGCCTGTGCAGCCCAGTGTGTACGCTGGTGCAGAGAGGAGGTTTGTGCGTCCAGGAGACGCCCACTAGAAACGGGGGTGGGGGAGGGAGTTCACTGATGCCAGTGGCATCGTCCCCCAGGAAGGCCCTGGGGACTGACTACATGTTCCTCTGGCCACTTGTACTTGTTGCAAAGAAAGGGGCGTCAGGATAGAGGAGCTCTCAGAGGAGCCATCCCCACTTCGCAGCATCAGCCACCAGATGTTTCTTGGCAAAAAATTTAAAGAGGAACCGTTTTCACAGCAAAAAGGTAATGCAGACTGCCACGTGTGTTCCTCTGTGGTCGGTAACAGCCAGCAGAGGTACTGAAACCTCAGAGTTTAAAAAGACTTCTAATTGAGTGGCCCTTGGGCTGTCTCTTGAGCACCCCATGGGCCGCAGAGACAGGGTGGCACAGTCTTCCCACAGCCTCACTGAAACCGAACCACCCGGCTTTCATGAGCTTTCTTTCAAAGACGTGAAATCCTTCTAGAAATGAGAAGCCTTCCTGCCCCGCTTCCTAGGGCACAAGTGGACACGCCCGTCCCTTGAAGCAGACCAGGCCACTGCAGCTGTGGCGGCTTGCATCCTCCAGGGACTCCAAGTAGAAACGGTCCTGTGTTTCTGCAGAGTTTTTGCTTAAATTGCGTCCTAGGGCCCTTGCTTTGGCGCCGTGTCTGTGCCACCAGGGGTTTTCTGCCGGCCCTCCCCTGGCAGCAGGCATGGAGATGGTGAAGGAAAAGGCCCTGCCATTATAGGCATCGGCCCCTTGATTTCACCAGGGCCTGAGAACGCACTGCAGGGCCTTTTTCCACTGCCAGGCCTGTGCAAAGCCAGTCGGGCCTTTGGGGTGGTGGCAGGTGGAGGGTGTGCTCTCTCCTGGACATGACTGTATTTCGTGGGCACCCCCTGCGGCTACAGTGGCAGGGTGGTTCTTGTGCCCTGGGCCAGCAGTAGGGTAGGAGGCTCCTGATGGTCAGAGGGGCCAAGAGCATACGTTTGTGACTGCAGAATCTCAAACCCGAGCCCTGTGACGAGCTGGGGCCTCCTGGACTTGCAGGTGAGGCTTTGCTTCACTCAGGCGCTTCCTCTGGGAAGCAGGGCCCCCCTGAGGCACACCTGGGCATGAGACAAGATGCCCCGGGAGCCTGGCAAGCTGGGGAGGTGCTGCTGGTTTGTGAGGAAGGCCAGGAGGGGACGTGAGTAACAGTGAGGGTGAGGGGGGAATCCAGGCTATCTGAAAAGCAGAGCCGGTGGGAGGGCCTGCTGCCTGGATGCAGGGCAGGGCAGGCCGGGGCTGGCCGGACGAGCTGCTTCCTGCCCAGAGTGTATGCTGCAAGGCTGGCAGGCAGGCAGCCCTGCACCTGATCCTCTGAAGGCTGACTGCCTGTCACCGCACTTTCCCAGCGGCTTCTTGCGGGCAGAGCAGCCTGGGCTTAGTGGAGGTGCCCACTGCGTCTATAAGGACAGGTCTTCCCGTCTGCTCCTGTCATTGCCTGCTCCCTGCAGAGCTCCCAGCAGGAGGTTGACTCAGCTTGCCTGCTGGGGCCGGAGCGGCCCCAGGTCCTCTGTGGCTGAGCACTGTGCCGGGCAGGCTGTCTGGCAGGTGGCACACAGCACCCCTAGAGTTCTGACCACTCTGTGCTTTTTCCACCTTTGGTCTGGAAGCGAGTAATAGACAGCCAAGCCGAGAAGCTGAAAGAGCTTGACAAGGAGATCCGGCCCTTCCGGCAGAACTGGGAGGAAGCAGACAGCATGAAGAGCAGCGTGGAGTCCCTGCAGAACCGCGTGACCGAGCTGGAGAGCGTGGACAAAAGTGCGGGGCAGGCAGCTCGGAACACAGGTGAGGGCGGCAGAGCAGGCCGGAGCTGGCCAGTGCTGCCGTGGGGACATGCTGTGTCAGAACTGTCCAGTCTCAGGTATGAGTGTGCAGGACTGTGGTCACTCCTCTCGGGCTCCCCAGTGAGGACAGAAGCCTTTGCCTTTTTGACTTGTCCTTCCTTAGGCGAGGCCAAGCTGCTGGGGAGTGGGAAGCTATGGAGGCCTCCCTGGCAGAGGCTTAGGCCACATAGTGACTCCCAGGCCAGGCCTGAGTGGACATGGTCAAGGAGGCCAGGGCCTGCAGAGCAGGTGCTCCAGGGGGCTTGGGCTGGTGAGGCGGGGCTTGCAGCAGATCCGCACATCCTGCTGGAGTGTTTCCAGGCCCAGAGCAGGTAGGGGCCTGCTACGTGAGGCTGGAGGAATGTGAGTACGGGCATGAGAGGCCTGACGGTGGGGATGAGCGGGGTTCTCCTGGTGCTTGAGGGATGGGTTAGGCTGGCGGAGGGTCTGAGAAGACAGCAGCTTAGACTCAGCACGGGACATTGGGCGTCCAGGCCTTGGACTGGGGACAGGGGTGGCTGTCCTCTGTGCCCGGGGGCTCCCACCAGGCCTGGCTTCCGAGGAGGCAGCAGTGGGGTAGACTGCTGCATTGTCAGCCCTGCAGTGCGGTGACACGGGCAGGCTGCGGCCAGGTGGCCCGTCCAGCCCTACGATGCCATGGACTGGGCTCTTGGTGGCAGGCTCTGGTGGGAACCTGAGCCTGCACGCGTGGTGGGGTGTCTGCCCGCTCACCCCAAGCCAGCGGTTGTGCTGCCACTCGCTGAGGTGCTGGCGAGGACTCGCTTTCGACCCTGTGGTGCTCAGGCCTCACCCACCGTCTCCTTCGCCTGCCTAGGCCTGCTGGAGTCCCAGCTGAGCCGGCATGACCAGATGCTGAGCGTTCACGACATCCGCCTGGCTGACATGGACCTGCGCTTCCAGGTCCTCGAGACCGCCAGCTACAACGGTGTGCTCATTTGGAAGATCCGAGACTACAAGCGGCGGAAGCAAGAGGCCGTCATGGGGAAGACGCTGTCCCTGTACAGCCAGCCTTTCTACACGGGCTACTTTGGCTACAAGATGTGTGCTAGAGTCTACCTGAATGGGGACGGGATGGGCAAGGGGACGCACTTGTCGCTGTTCTTTGTCATCATGCGCGGGGAGTATGATGCCCTGCTGCCTTGGCCGTTTAAGCAGAAGGTGACACTCATGCTGATGGACCAGGGGTCCTCGCGGCGTCACCTAGGAGACGCCTTCAAGCCCGACCCCAACAGCAGCAGCTTCAAGAAGCCCACTGGAGAGATGAACATTGCTTCTGGGTGCCCGGTCTTCGTGGCTCAGACTGTTCTAGAGAATGGGACGTATATTAAAGATGATACGATTTTTATTAAAGTCATAGTGGATACTTCAGACCTGCCCGACCCCTGACCAGGAGCTGGGGCGGTGGGTTTAGCAGAAGGCAACTCCTCGGGGGTGGGCCGCTCTGTCTTCACTGCGGTCCTCGCGTTCAGAGGAACCTGGTGGGACAGAGGAAGCGGCGGAAGGCGAATGCAGCCGGCGGAGGAGCCACACGTGAAGACACACCCTGACACGTTTCTAATAGACTAGCACCGCTCTCTGGAGAACTATTTATCCTTCGACGAGATACATACTGCTGTCAGAGGAGGTTTTCATTTCATTTTTAAAGATCTAGTTAATTAAGGTGGAAAACATATATGCTAAACAAAAGAAACATGATTTTTTCTTCCTTAAACTTGAACACCAAAAACAGTGCACTCACACACGTGGGGGTAGCGGACCTGTCAGCATGTTGGGAAAGGAGACTCTGGGGTAATCACGCAGTTCTGATATACTTACTCATCCTGAAGCTCAAGAGTGCAGTCTTGTTTCAAATATAGTATATTGTCTATTTTTAAGGCCTCATCTGGTCTCTGTTTTAATAATTTGTTTGTCAGAAGACCCTGAAGTATACCTAGGTCTTTTTTTGAAAGTCTCTAAAATCAGAATCATTTTTTAATTTAAGGTTCTACAAATAATTGTTAACTGCAAACATTTTATTTTAAAACGTTGATAGACTGATATTTCTTGGAAGAAAATGTAAAATATCAAACACTGGTTATCACTTGTGATAGGAAAGAGAATATCAATCTGTTGTTATTTCTCGTTAGAAATGTAAACCTTCAATACCTGTCGTAGTTACTGACACTACTTCAAAACTATTATGAAAGGGACATTGCTCATGGATGCTGTGCATCATTTTCAGATTTATAATTGTTTTCACCCTAAAATAGGGCATTAGTTGAACTTTGGAGTTCTAAACAAAATCCTGTAGGTTTTTAAAATTCTGCCCCACGTGTTTTAGACGAGCTCTCCACGGCTGACAGCACCGACCTTTGGTCCCCAGGGTCAGGTGTCGGGGGTGGGCAGGCGGCTCGTGCTGAGGGAGGCCCGGGCAGACGTGCTCTCCATCCTGTCGTGTTGCTGCGTTTTGTCTGTGATCTCCAAAAGTGACATCTTTATGTAGAGATGGTGGCAGTTCATGTGCCTTAGATGTGACATGCTGCTTCTCGACCCTGGTTTGCATTTGGCGTCTTTCTGGAAAGTGATCGCTTAACCAGACTTTTCTCTCCTCCACTAGATCTTTGTCTTGACAAGGGCCCTCAGACAACCCTGTCCCTGCAGAGGGGAGGCCAGGCTCTCACGCGGCTTCTCGAGCCTCCACTTCT